GCTGTGTTTCCATTACGTCTGTTGGATGAGCGTGCTCAGTGGGGTTGATGCGTCATTGTTACAGTGTCACACTCCAAAGGATTGGCACCATATGCATACTACAGCATCCTCAGTGGTGCTTCCCCAACTTTATTAACACAATCTTTGCCTTAAGTCCATCACATCCTTCTACTGATGGGATGTATAGCTCCTCCAGCAAGACTTTACATATTCTTGCATATACAGTAGTACATTGTAATCTTATGTATTTTAGTATGTTATTCTTAATCTTTAAGAAAATAGACCCATTTTGACAATAAGGACAAAGCTTGAAATCGATTTATTTTTTATCAGATGTAGCATGATTATCTTAGGTAAAATCACTAAGCTATAAAGGTGTGTGATATACTATAAAAAACAATAGCACCTTTAATCAAGATGATTTTATCAGTTTTATTAATCTATTTGCTCAGGTAGTGCTTGTAGCCACCTGCTAAACATAAATGCTGTTCATTGCTTTCCAACTGTACTGTATTTTAAAACCTAAAACATTGATATTTGTTTTTCTTTTAGTTTTTATGCCATGATTGCCGTTATTTTTTTTTTGCAAAGGGAAATCTCCAAATGTGTCTTTGTGCAACCACAGGGAAAGGTTTAGAAGGTATTCTAGTCATCCGGTGTTTCTGTATCTTTAGGTGATGAACCCATTTTGTAAAATTTCTATATATATTTAGCTAAAAACACAATGGTGGACGGTTCCAAATGTTATTCTGTCAAAGTGTTAATAGATCTGACCAGTGATGGAGGGTAGATCAGTGTTCATCCTGTTTTGGTGATGGCTTGAGTAGCCGGTATACTTAAACAACCAGATTGGCTCAAGTCCAGCCCCAAAATAAAAGGTTTGATGGATTACAGCGCCCTGTCTCCTCTCGATGTCTTAAATAGCTCCAAGGCAGCATTAGACGGAATGCTTCTGGGACATTTGCTCTTTCAGCTTGTCCTTAGACTGGATGCTGTCTGTTCAATAAAAAATAATTTACAGAAGTCACTGTGGTGCTGACTGAAAGGAATTTATCACACCACGACTCTGTCTAACATGCATTACATGCTTTTTTTTTTTTTTTTAAGTAAGTAGAAGGTTAAAATATAGATTATGTGGAAGAATACTTTTGTCACAGCGTTCCTGCAGTAATTTTCTCTTTGTTTTTGAAGCATCATTTTCTGCACCAGTATTTTTTTTTTTTTTTAGCTCAACAGCTTCATCATTGGTGTGGTTTTTTCTGACCTGTCATTATGACCAGCCTAATCCGAGTCATTCTGTCGACTCACTGTGACTCCACACATCACACTTGTTCTTGATAATGTTGTGAAACCTCTTATGTTGAAAGCTAAAAATGTTTTTTTTCCAACTTAAAGTTCTTGTGTTTGAGCGACCCTTGTTAAATGTGCTGGATGGGGGCTCTCCAGGGTCGGTTTTTGGTTCGCCCTGCTCTGTCCTGCTGTGATAGAAACATTTTTTTTGGTTTGTTTTTGAAGCCATAACACAACCAGGTTGAAAATGGATGCTCATCACCTAATAAGGTCACTGTAGTGTCTACCTCACGTAGAGTTTGGGCGAATCCTTTAAGATGGTATGGAGTGAATTTTGTGCCATTATTATTGCAAACAAAGAATATATTTTGTAAATGGAAAAAAAAAATGCAGCTCAAAAATTAAACTTTAATAAAGTGAATAAGTAAATAAAGTAGAGAGTAGGTTTGTTGTTTTCCAAGATTCATATTTTTCAGGGTTTTTTCCCCCCAAAAATCGTATATATTATATATTTTAAACATGTTTTTTTTTTTCAATCTTATTTTTTTTTCTACTGACTTTATATTGTCCCCGTTTTTTGTTTTTTTTTTTTAAATCAGGTTTTCAAGATTACATTCTCTTCCCTTCTAATGGTGGGTCTTTCTTTGGAGGGAGAAGCAAACTTATAAGCGTTTGTATTTGGCTTGAAGTGAAAAGAATGGGATCTATGAAACTGCATTTCACAGATCGGAATGCAATTTGTAAAACTTGATATGAAAAGCTGAAATGAATATATCTATTTAAAAAAAGTAAAAAACAAAAATAACGTTTGAATATATAAAATCTGTAAATTAAAAAAAAAAAACTTTGAAAACAACAAAAAAAAGTAATAAAATTGAAAGCAATGTAACACTGTTTGATTAAAATGCTTCTTTTAAAGTTTAATTTCTGAAGTTTTTTTTTCAAATTTCAATTTATAAAATGTGTCTTGTTTGTATTTCCATTTATTAATAATAATGATGATATAAAGCGTGTTCTTTGCTTGCAATCATAATGGAACAAATCTAACTTCATAAAGCAGCAGCTCTTGGTCCTGTTTGCGTGATTTAAGGTGTTTTCCCGCTGTCACACATCTAACTCAAATGAATGGGGGATAAAACAGGTTGCAGCAGGTTTGATGTCAGGCTCAGGAGGCAAAACATTTTGGCACTCAGTTCCAGAACATGATGAACCCTGAGGGCCAGGGTGGAGAACCCAAACATTAGGGTCTAATGTGAAGTTTGTTGCTGGAGGACATGTGAAGCTCTGCAATATAACGCAGTATTTCATGCAAAGATCTGAGCTCCACCGCAGCTGTTGAGATGATTCATTGCATTTCTTTTAAAAGTATCTCGGCCGAGCATTTTTCTATTATATCTTAGTTTTAATGCCCACTTCTTTGCCTAAACTTTTTTTTTTTTTACTTAGGAGGAGGTTAATAATGAATCAAAGGATCATATTAACTTAATTTTTGTAACATTGACTTTTATTTTCTTCAGGTATCTTGGGTTCTGGATCAGCGAGAGACAACATCCTCTAGCGACGACCTGACAGCTGTGAGAAATAACACCGACCAGATGTTATGTCTGCTGGCGGAGGAGCGCCCCACGGACAGCACGGAGGGCGGCTCATGCGCGGCGCCCATGGGCCCGATACTGGAGCTGGTGGTCACAGAGAACATCCTGGAGCGCCTGGTTCAGTGGCACCTCCGGCGCGGCCTGGACCCAGACAGTCAGGGGGCTCTGCTCAAGCTGTTCGAGATGCTGATCGGCCAGTCGCAGCAGCCTCTGCTGCAGCACACGGCCGTACTTCACCCGCTGCTGAGGCTGCTGGGAGCATGCGCTGACCCAGAACTCGGCTGTCCCTTAGCTTTGGAGAACAGCCTTGTACTGCTGCTTAATCAGGTTTGCAAAAAAAAAAAAAAAACCCAGATACTTTTATTGTTATTAATAGGACTGTTTTCATGTTAGTAGTTTGAGGTTTCCTTTTTTTTTAGAGTTTTTTTTATGCACCGGATTATTCCTGAAATAATATGAAATAGAATTTTGGCACAAATAACTAAATTAACTGGGCTGGGACCTTATCTGCTTCAACCTTTTCTTAGACTTTTATTTATATTTGTTCAGTGTTTGGCAACCATATTTCATCATAAGAACCGCAAACCTCAGGATGTTTATTTAGGCTTCATATGATGGATCAAATAAAGTTTAGAGAAAAAAAAATGCAGTCGTTTTTATATTTATTTTGAAATGATCTGTAAGTCTCTTTAGTCACTACTTTGTGAAACCTCCCTTGGCTTTTTTTTTTTTTTGCTTAACAGTTGAAGCTCAGTCAGATGGAGAAAATCTGTACATCATGTTTAAGATCTAGTCTTGATAGTGTTAACGGGTGTAACAATGCTTTTTATTGATATTACTTTTAGAATAGAAGAATAGAAAGTCCCTTTATTGTCCCAAAATGGGGAAATTGTGGTGTTACAGCAGCAAAAGGTTACAGCAGAGGTGGTCACACAATGTGCACCCTAGAAAAGTTTATAAAAACAACAGATAAGAAAATAAAGAAATGGAGTATTCTACGGTACAATTTTTTTACATTATAATTCTCTCTATCTAGAGAATAAAAAAATCAATAACAGCAGTGGACATTTTTACAGTAATGGAAAGGTGAAAAATAGCAGCAACATAAGAGATTTGCAAAAAATGTTTAAAGGAAATTTTTCACTTTTTTTTTTCATTGCTTCCACGTTTCGTCCAATAATTTCCTGTTTGTTTATTTTTTAACCCCCAACAGGTTTGTGTGACCATGGCTCGGCAGCCGGTGGTCTTGGAGATGCTGTTCCAGGCTGCACCTGCCAAACAGGGCTCCACCAATCTGCTGATCTTCTCCCTGCTGGTGCCGTTCATCCACCGGGATGGAGCCATCGGACAGCAGGCTCGAGATGCACTGCTGCTGGTCATGGCGGCCTCGGCCAGTCACGATGCAGTGGCGCGATACATCACTGAAAACTCCTACTTCTGCCCGGTGCGCTCAACTTTTGTTTTCCTTCTGTTGCCATTTTTTTAAATCTTTTGTATGATACTAAACAGATGAAGGTTGATTTTCAAAAATTTGTAAAGAAGAGGTGAGTTTTAGGGTTTTGTTTTTTTATATCATCAAATTAAAATCTGTAGAATTTAAAACTAAAGAGTAATTTGTTATTTATAGCTATATTATTCTTTATATTTTTTTCAGTTTCATCTAGGATGTCAGTGATGCTGACCTTCATTTTTTGTGTAGCTCAATGTTCTGATAAATTCAGCATCAGTCATGTTTGCTCTGGCATCAAATTGATATAAATTACTAAAGAGAAACGTCCTCCATGTTAATGCTGTGTACAGCTTAAAAAGTGGGACTCTGGCTTGCTTTCTGCATCTTCCTTTTAATGAAGGGTGTGCTGTGTGAGCAGTGCAACTCTAGTGCATTAAGAGGTGGAGCGGGTAATGGCTGCAGAAGAAGAAGAAGATGACTATGCACTCTGACAGATCACTCATCCTTATCTACATCCTATCAGATAGTTTCCTGCAACCAGCTCAGAAAATAACCCATGTATAAGAAACATTGATGTCTTAAAGGACAACATGAAAACCTCTCTCTCTCTTCCAGTTTATTGCTTCACCTTTTCCAACGTTTCGTCGTTATCGCGTTTGTTATAAAAACAGCAGATTCAGTCAATACCTATTTAAAGCTTTCATTTGCACAATATATGAGACAAAAACTGATCTGCAAGCCATCTTCAGTTTCCTTTAGCTTCCACCAGATGAGAATGAAGACTTGCTAAGTAACATTTGCACATCATTTTATCTGGTGCTCTTAATGATTTCCTGNCCTATCAGATAGTTTCCTGCAACCAGCTCAGAAAATAACCCATGTATAAGAAACATTGATGTCTTAAAGGACAACATGAAAACCTCTCTCTCTCTTCCAGTTTATTGCTTCACCTTTTCCAACGTTTCGTCGTTATCGCGTTTGTTATAAAAACAGCAGATTCAGTCAATACCTATTTAAAGCTTTCATTTGCACAATATATGAGACAAAAACTGATCTGCAAGCCATCTTCAGTTTCCTTTAGCTTCCACCAGATGAGAATGAAGACTTGCTAAGTAACATTTGCACATCATTTTATCTGGTGCTCTTAATGATTTCCTGCAGTGAGAGCATGTAGGAATACATATGGATTTCTGATAGAGTTGTGGGGATAGCAGGGTCTGTAGAATCAAACCATGAGGTTTGCATCTAACTTTTTAAAGTGATCAATATCTCAGTCTTTTTAACTTAATCTGACTTGACTTTGTTGGCAGTCAGTTGGCTGAGCTATTTCTGCTCACTTTCAGTCTGACCTACTTACAGCTGAAAAGGTCCAGTGGAGGTGGCATTAAGGACCCGACGCCTGACTCACAATGTTTTTCCACCTTGGCACGCCAAACCATTACATTCAGCTTTTTAAAGTGGCTCCTGATTAACGAAGCAGTATAAAAAGAAATGACTTTCCAGCTTTTCAAACATTTTTTTCATTACTCAAGCCAAACTGTTTTTTGTTTTTTTTCTACTTATCGTTTGTTTTCTTTGTATCATAGGGTTAGTCTCCCTTTGGTAGGACTACATAATTACTGGAAGTATTGCAGTATCAAGTTTAGAATGTGGATAATAATATTGCTTCAGATTTTTTTTCCCTAGTGCCTATTCTATAATAAAGATTTTCCCTCCTCCTCAGCTTTGAGCTGCAGTCTAGATTAGGTCGGGAGAGTTGACTCCATTCTCAAGTAGATAAAAAACTGGAAGAGTTTAAATGCAACCCACAAAAATTGTACATCCCATCAGAAATGGCATCCAAGCAGTCCTTTGCTAATAATAATAATTTCTCATTAATACGGCATTGAAAATGCGAATATGTATATATCGTGCAGTTCAAGTTTTGGAAATAATATATTTGAATGCATTTTATTTTTCTCTGCAGATAAACTTTCCTGGAAAAGCTTCTGCTTTAGAAAGTTGGTGCTTTCAATATTATTTGTAGTGTTTCAGCTGCTCTCATTGCAGAGAAGCAGACATGCCTTGATCTGCAGCAGACTCAAAACTAAACACAGCTTAGACACTCAAAAATGTTAATCAAACAAAAACCTGCTTAGACTCACATTTTTTTATAAATGGTGTTTCGTGAGGGACTCTTGACACTGAAGTAATAAAAAAGCAGGATATAATTTGTATTGTATCTAGATTTTATTTAAATTTATTCCACTATCTGTTTCGTTGTTTTGCTCTGTTGGTTTTTATAGGATGTTAACTTTAATTATTGGTTATTTTTATCTTAATTTCAAACTTCAATAGTTGGATTATTTTACAATACTTCTATTCACATACCACAATCAGGAAAATGTTTATTTTAACTAAATAGGAGTTCAAATCCTTTTTTTTTTTGTCCCTCTGTTTCACAGCTATTCTTCCAAGTAACAAAATGACCTGTTTAGTTGAATTGTTTTAAAGTCTTTTTTTCTTAACCAGGTGTTGGCGACGGGGCTCAGCGCCCTCTACTCCTCTCTGCCCAGGAAGATCGAAGTCCGAGGAGATGACTGGCATTCTCTGCGGCGGGAGGACTGGATCGGCGTGTCGTCTCTCGTGCTTTTTATGAACTCTTTGGAGTTCTGTAACGCGGTGGTGCAGGTCGCACATCCCATGGTCCGCTCTCAGCTCCTGGACTACCTCCATAACGGTTTCCTCGTCCCCGTCATGGGCCCTGCCCTGCACAAGGTTCGAGTTAGAACCTGATCTTTTTGGATAGAAATAGTCCTCATAGTTGTGTTTCAAACTATTTAAAGTAGGGCTGGGCAAAATGACTTTAAAATCTAATCTCTGATTTAGTTTTTATTTTCTTTTTTTACCAAGTTTCATTATAAAAAAATGACCAATGACGTATACCACTTTCAAAAACTAGCTTTGTTTTCAATCATCCCCTCAGAGGTCACCTTAATTTGAAGGTCAGGGAAATTAAAGCTTGTAAAATTCTCATGTTTCACAACAGACTTTAAAAATAACCAAACTAAATGTTTTCAGGTAGTGGTACAGTTTTAAGTACCCATCTAAAAACAACATCTGATGAACTGATGTTGTCTATGAAGGCCAAAGGAGTGGATTAATTTAAAAATCCAGATGATCCAAAAATGAAATCACTTAAAAACATGATTGATCAATTTGATCGATTATTCTTCTAGCCTTAGATTAAGAAGATAGAATATTTAAGTGTTTCAGTTTAGTTAATTGATCCTGATTCTTAAGTTGAAGGTAACCTGGCAAAAAAAGTAGTTAAGAAATTGATTTAATGTCCTTATACTAATGTTTCATCCAGGTTATAGTCATTTCAAAAAAGTAAAAATAAAAAACACTGGATTTTGTTTTCCAAGTTTGAAGATGTTTCGCTTCCCTCCCAGGAGGCTTTTTCAATTTAAAATGTCTGAATTATTATTAATTAATTATTGAGTTGCAAGCTTTATAGAGTAGCCCAAACAAAGCCTTGTTATGGCTTAGATAACATGCATATGAACAACTCCCCATTACTAAGGGGTGATCCTGTTCTTCTGATTCAATTTGCATGTTTTCTAAGCCAAACAAGTTTGTTGGGCTACTTTGGGGGTCACGGACCCACCTGCTGGCTAATCCGGACTGAAACTGATTTAAAACATTTATAAATTATCACATGTTGTCTGACGGCAGTGTCTAATTTCACTTGCGCCGCTTCCCCTATTTGTACGGCAAAGCCCTCCAGAGCATCCGGGACAAGGCTACATGTGATACAAATTAGCCAATGAGCTGCTGTCAGTCTGGGTCTCTGCTGCTAGCTACTGTTAGACACAGCAGGCAAACCTGTGGCAAGCCGAGCTGTGAGAAAGAAGGAGAAGATGATGAGAAAAAGTGAAAGAAAGTGTGGACTGCTGGAAGAACTGTACTAGACTGGTGACAGAAAAGTGAAATGGCGTGCTCAAAGATGACCCTCCACATTTTGAGGATGTTTGGATAAACCTACTGCTGTGAAGCAGGATTTTCCATCATGAACATAATCAAAAATAAATATGGATCCAGGCTCAAAATGAGCACCTTGATATGTGCATGAGAATGACTTTGTCACCATTCAAACTAGAGGTGTAAATAATCATTTTGTGTAAATGCATCGATCCAACAGCCGGCGATCCAATGCATCGATACATCCGCAAGAGAATCGATTCGTGTTTTTTTTTTTTCCTCCGGTCTATTTCTATCCATTTGCTCCTGGATGTAATTCTCCCTCCCGTGCTGCGGTGGTGCTAAACCTTTTTTACCCTCCTACCACGGTTCCTGGTTGTACTCTTACAGTGGTGTGTTACAGTGAGCTTGACACAGACATTTTTGATTTATGCTCAATATTAAAGCGTGGTCTGCACTATACGCTGTGGGTCTAGATACGGCCGAGGCAGTGAGGAAGTGGGGGCGAGTTTAGTTCGACAATGGAGGGACATGAGGGCCAAAAAGAGCGGGGATCCAGGTGGAAAAAGGGTCCCAGCGTTCTCACGTACCTCGCTCTTCTAGCGGCTCAAACTTCACTAGTTGTTTTCCGCAATTTCGGTCATAAAAACAAAACAAGCCGGCCTCCTGTCTGCGGCACTGTTTGCAGTCAGCTACAATTTGGGAGAGGTGCAGCGAAGCGTCTGTGGAGGGGGCGGGGACATCTGTAGCCAAGGTATTACATTACACTCATTGCACTGATTTTGTGCAGTATTTTTTTATGCAAGGCCTTTCAGAATCTATAACGCAGGGGTATTATTATTTTTCAGTGAATGAGGTTTTAATAGGAATAGGTGGAGTGCAACTTTTCTACTTCAGTTATTTGCTGTTGTTGCTCAAAAAAAAAAAAAGCATAACAATATTACAGCTTTTTGATTTATTTCGAATTTGAAACATTGTCTAGCATGTAAGGTGTAAAAAAATAAAATAAAAATTTTATACAAATCATATCATGGTGTAATTTTGAGTATCGAAAATAATCGAATTGTTGGGTCAGGAAATCGATACTGAATCGAATCGCCATGATGGATGTGAGTTACACCCCTAATTCAAACCCAGGTTTAAAGCCTTGCAGGTCAGCATAAAGCCCACTGCTCTCAATAAGCCATAAAAAATAAAGAAAAAAACAAAACAAAAAAAAACTTGGAAATACATTTCTTTAACCTAATCAGCTGTTTATGGATAAGACCCTTCTATAAAAAAAAAAAAAAAAACTTGGAAAAATGTTTTTTTTTTTTTGAAAAGTAAATGTATAACATTAATGCATAAACACTTCATTTTATTTCAGTGTTAAATTCTGTTTAAAGTAACAGATTATAATTAAAAATGTCTCCGGACCTTTACTGGTTGTTGATTTTCTTTATTCGGACCCAGCTGATTTTTAATTGGTTACCCCTGAATACTCTATAAAGCTTGAAACTCAACGCTAATTCAGATACGGTATTTTAAATTTAAAAAGCCTCCTGGATGGGGAAGCGAAACGTCTTCAAACTTGGAACACAAGGCCGGTTGTTTGTTTTTTTACTTTTTTGGAACGTTCTTCTCCAAATCTGGTCCTATGAGGAGATTTGTCTCATAGTTCTTCTCTAAACAGGATTTCTGTTTGTGTGTGTTTAGTCGTCGGTGGACGAGATGATAGCCAGCACCGCCTACCTGGATCTTTTCCTGCGCAGCATAACGGAAACATCGCTGCTCAAAACCTTCCTGCGCTTCATCCTGCTGCATCGCCACGACAATGACACCATCCTAGACACGCTGCTCACACGCATCAGCAGCAATTCAAGGGTCTGTATACATGTGGGTGTGCTTCTGAAAGCCTCCAGGCCTTTAAAACGAACACAGTTGCGTGGGTGATGTGTGGGCTGAGGGTGGAAACTGAAAGTAGGAAAGAGAAGCTTCTGGTTCATCGGATCACAAAGGAAAACTTAATCTGTTCAATTCCGCTGCAGAAGCGAAATTTTATACTTGATGTTTATATTCAGAAATACGTCTCAACTGAAATGTTAAAAAAGGGACTTTGACAGTACTACAGTACTTATTTTTACTTCTCCACTTTTCTAGTTGAGGATAAATGTAGAACTGATGTTTGAATGCAGATGATTTCTGTGTCCCCATGTGCTCATCAGCTTTCTTCTTGTTGCAGCTCTGCATGGTTTCTCTGAGTCTATTCAGGACTCTCCTGTCCTTGCATTGTGAAGACATCATGCTGCAGCTCGTTCTCAGGTTAGTTTTCCTCTGCTTTTGTTGTCGGGGGTGTAACTGTATGGTCAGCTGATGAGATGAGAGGATGCAAGATTGGATTTGGATAGGTTTAAGAAAAACATTGTTTTCTTTGTGAATGTGACAAATGCACGCTTCAGCAAGGAGGAATTTTCCATTGGCCGTAATGAGTAGGAAAAAAAAATCTAATCAGTTTTCACTTGTCATACTACTGTTGTTTTCTAGAAGGACCTCATTTAATGTGCTGCCAAGCCCAACAATAGAGAAATTGGTCTTTTTTCTGTTTTCTAACTAAAGTAAAAAAGTAAAAAAAAAAAAGAGTGGAAAACTGTTTATTGTCTCGCAGTATGGAGTACGGTGGCAAGAACATCTACACAGAACTTCACACTAAATAACATTAGTATTATAAATCAAGATGTACAGCAGAAGAAAAAAAATGCACTTCAGAAAGGGGGGAAAAAAGGGGTGCAGCTATTTATAAAAATGCACATTTAGGTAACTGTGAAAAATGTTAAAAAGTTGCATGCATACAGTTTTAAGCCCTGGATGTTTCAGAATTGTTCAGGTGGTTTCAGAACTTGAGATATTTAGATGCTGATGAAATTTCCTTAAAATTAGAGAACTAGCCCTTTATTTTTGCATTAAATCAGAAAGTTAAAAATCAAAGTTTAAGAAAGTGTTTTCTGCAATCAGAATAAATGTTCAAGGACTCTCACACAGCAGCATTTTGTGCAGCGCTTTCCGTAACACAGCCGCCGGTTTATTTTTCTACCTGATACTGAGAGAAGCTCATCGATGATCGTGGTTTAACTTTGCTCTTCAGTGTGATTGTAAACTTTATGAACGCATTCTTTGGACCAGTCCATGTCATCACAGCTAGATAAGACGTTTAATAACACAGTTATTAATAAACAGTTTAACTGTATTTATTCCGATTTTATCAAAGTATCGATTCACATCCCTTGGACTAATGTTCTCTAACCAACCACTGAAGCCTTCATAGAACAGCTCTATTTATATTAGGATTATAAGAAACAGACAGACTTTTAAATAATTAGCTGACTTTAGAAAGTCACTGAAGGAAATATAGTTTATTTAAGGGTATGAAAGTAATGGTGAGTTAATAAATGTACATTTTAGCCACACTTTCTTTTCTGATTTTTGCATAAAATGAATAAAATAAAACTGTTTTTTGGTCCTTTTAAACTTGACAGTTGGGTGCTACTGTCCTGTAAAATGTGTCACATGTTTTCAGTGTCTGGACCATGAATCATTACAAAAACATAAATGAAGACTCTGTGTGCCTTTCTTTTGCTCCAAGGTATCTTCTGCCCTGCACCCATGTAATGCTGAGTCAGCGTCGCGCTATCAGGGAGACGGACATGTACGGGAAGTCTGCGAACAAATTCCTGTCTCTGATTCCAGAGTGCTGTCGGCTAAACGCAACAAGCTCCGCCGATCGGGATGACGACAATCCATTCTGGGGCAAAGGTGAGCCACAAACAGATGTGGAAAATGAATTCTAAACACTTTGTTGTTGTTTTTTTCCAAGCATTTTATTGTCATTACTCTGTCGCAAGTACAGAGCAACGAAATGAACTCTCTGCAAGTCTGCATGTAATCCATCCCCTTGGGGAGCAGTGGGCTGCCATTGTGCGGTGCGCGGGGAGCAGTTTGGGGTCATGCTTTAAGGCTGTTTTGCTCAGGGACCCCCACTGGCAGCTCATTCTCCTCAGCTGGGATACGAAGCCAGGCTTCCTGTTTGCAGGACGGGTGACTTACCACTTGAGCTATCCGGCCACTAATAGAACTTTATTGATTAATAGAACTTTATTTATTACAAAGCAACAAAATGAACTCTCTGCAAGTCTGCATTTAAGCCATCCCCTTGGGGAGCAGTGGGCTGCCATCATGGCGTGCCCGGGGAGCAGTGTGGGGTTAAGGGTCAAGCTCAGAGACCCAGAGTGGCAGTCTGTGGGAGTGGAGCTCGAACTCAGAACCTGAGGATTCCAAACTCTATGCCCTAACCACTAGGCCGCCACTCCTGCCAAAATGATTGTTTTTTATTGATCTCATATTGGAGAAATTTACCTCTGCATTTAACCCATCCCCTTGGGGAGCAGTGGGCTGCCATTGTATGGCGTCCGGGGGGAAACTCAGAGCTTAAGGGTTTTGCTCAGGAACCCAGAGTGGAGTCTGTGGGGATCAAACCGGGTACTTGCATCCCTCTAATAACACAAGCACACTGCTCTAACACACTAGGCCAACACTCCCCTCTGTTGGATCGACTGTTTGAATGAAAGCAGTTCAATAAAATGTTTACCTGCTCCGTGCAAAATAATCTGTGAGGAAGGGTTTATAGGTTTAGATGCTAGGTTTATCTTTGGGTTACCTTGTTCACGTATATAAAGAAAGGGATTCTGGACACAAACTATAGTATGAGATTTGGTTTCCTTTATAATCTTTCTCCTTTGGTTTGCTTCCTTCTCCACAGTTCTAAACAATCCAAGCACTGAAGCTCCTGCTCCACCCAGACCTAGCACCCCTTCCCGCTTATCCTTCTTCATGCGGCAGCAGAGCAGCAGCAGTGGATCAGGAGGAGGGGGTCCTTCCAACCCCAGCGTGGATCCACTCCACTCGGGTCCATCCCACAGTCCGTCCCCCGACAGTCCCATGCATCATCAGCATTCCACCCACACAGACTGCCTAGAGTGGGATGCAGGCTACCTAGAGTACCTTAAGGATGCTCGTCGGGGAATCGAGCATTGCTCGTGGGCCTGCCGTGATTGGTCCGCCCCTTATGATGGAGAAAACCCGTCCCCTAGCACAGCCCCCCTGCCTCCCCCTCCCCCCACCTCTAACCCCTCCATGGCTATATTTCCAGAGCACTTCTCGTTCCAGCATGGAGGAAGCAGTACTCCTCCAGCCCAGCAGAGGGCTGCCGTTGTGGCGGCGGCGCGGTCGGAGTGGAGCAGCTCGGATCGGGACAGCGGCGAATGGGATGTCACGATAGGCAAAAACAACTGCATCAGTCTGACGCCGCGCTCCAAGAAGCGCACGCTGCAGACGGAGGAACTCTCTAAACCCGTCCCACCTCTCGTCCCTTCCTCATCTGCAGGCTCCCCGTTATCAGCCTCGCACTCCGCCTCTTTGCCAAGTCAGCACATATCGGCATCCACCATCACTGTGAGCTACCAGCCTATGTACAATGGAACCGTCGGACAGGGGGACGGCTGCTCGGACAGTCGGGATAGAGGGCTAGAAGTGAAGAAAGTTAAAAGAGACTTGGGAGAGCAACCGTCGTTGGATGAAAACGCCAATCAGAACGGGTCACCCATCTCCTACCCATCCCACAGTCACACTGCTGTCACCCAATCCGTGTTCAGCAGCACAAACGGCAGCGATGGGAAATCTCTTCAGTTTCCCACGCAAACCACCGCCCCTCATACCAAACAGCTGACCAACAGCATCTCAGGCCCACACAGCACATCCTCAGATCTTCCAGAAACCAACCAAACACAGCAGTCTGTGGAGCGGCTCATTGAAGAGCTGCTAGAACAGTCTCCAGACGACCCCCAGCTCCCCTCAGATGCCAACGGTCAAGGCATCACCATCGAGGCCTTTACCCAGGAGCTGAGAGAGCTGGAGGACAGGGTGAAGGAGCGAAGCCAAGCTGCCTTCCAGCCATCGGATACAGCTGTAGACTCCCCGTCAGCCGAGCAGCTAGAAGAGGAACAGCTTTCCACAGCACTCAATGCAAAACTAGCCAGTGACGGGAAGGGGGAGGGATCTGAGGTGGGAATCTTCAGTCCTGCCAAACCGCTTAACCAGCCTGCCTCACAACCGTATACAGGTATGTTATCCTCTCAGTGGAGGCGCTGTGGTTGGGTTTTCATGATATCAACCTGAGGATCTTTGAGTCTTAAACACTTGAGATGTACAGCTAAGTGACTAATTAACATTTCTTCTGACTTTCTGAATATTTTATGTTAAATTTTGTGGTTATGTTCATGATTTTAAAGAAGTAAAACTCAAAAGAGAACTAAAACGGTATTGGGAGGAAGTGTCTTGCAAATGCATTCACACCTGCTCCTTGCAGATTTATTCAGTTTTGAAGACAAACATAATGTTTAACAAAATGTTTTGGGTTTTTTTGCCTCGGTATTCCTTAAAACATTTCAGTGAAGCGTGTGGTCTTTAGCAGCAAACTTTAAAGTAAGGAGAGTCCATCTATGTGTCATTTAATCTCACTGTATAACCAGCCTCTCTGTGAAGATCTCTGAAGTTTTTTTGAAGAGCAAACGGCATGATTAAGGAGCATCAGATTATAAAACAATATCTTAAGCTTCAAACAGTATAACACATTTGATTTCATTCTCTAAAAATGCAGCTGCAAATCTACCAAATAATGAATTGGACTGGAACTGCAAGGAGATCATTAGCCAAGGAGACGGTATAGAGGCTGATGGTAACTGGAGAACCTGCAGATTAGTCAAAGTAAAACTTTGGTCACTCAAATTTGGTCTTATCCAATCCAGTCCAATTTTATTTATCTAGCACTTATAAAATAACCAAAGCTGACCAAAATGCTGTACAGAAAACATAAATAAAGCATAAAACAGTAAAGATAAAAAACAAAACAGCTAAAACATCGGTAGAAATTAGCGCTTCACCGATACCACTATCAGGCAGGGCCACGATCCAGCACTAACCTCTTACACCCTAAGGGGGTATAAATAAATTTCTGCCTGACAAAAACACACAAAAGTAAATAACTTATAGCCTCAAAGCTATTAGATTTAAGAAGAAACTTTTGGTACCTCTGTAAAGGTAAGATGTCATAGAATGGTTTTCTGTTGTCAGCACCATTGTAGCTTTGACCCTGCCTGAAATATTAGGGACAAAATACAAAATATTTTGCATTTTTTGAACCTCGCCAAAATTTTCTTTGAAATAAACATTGCAAAACACTACCAAAATATTATTTATAGCACAAAAAAGTAGTACAGACTTTCAAATCTAAATTTTGTGTAAAAATATACCAAATTTGGACTCCATCAGATGAATCATATTTATTTTAGAATGGTATTAGTGAGAAATTTCTTAGGCGGAGAGGCCATTTTGGCACATTTATCCATAAATGTCACCAAACTGTGCCAAATATGTTTTTAACATCAATACTGGGGGTTTGGTAAAATTACGAGTTCACGTAGCAGCTGGACCCGCCGGTGGGTCCGTAGGGTTCAAGGGGCTAAAATGGCACCATTTAGAGAGCCAAAAGTTTATTCAACTATTGTCACCCATTCCAGGTAGACGATAAAAAGTTCTACTGGATTCACTTTGTATTAGTCTTTTTCCTGCTTCACAAAGGTAGGCAGCAGCTTGACAAAGCCATGATGGCAATTATTTTACATCCAAGTAGTATGCAGTTCTTCATATATACACATTTTGAATAGATGCTATCGCTATGGTATCGGTATCAGCCAATACTGCACAGCCAGGTATCGGTATCGGGGCCAAAAAATGGCATCTGTGCAACACTAGTAAAAATAACATTGACACAATCAAATCAATAAAATTGGTTGACTATGACCTGGATGACTGAGGATCTTCACCAGCAATAAAACTGGTTAAAAGGAATAAAAGGTTAAAATAAACCCACCACTGAAAAAAATAAAATAAACCTTTTTCGGCATCTACTTAACCATATGTAGTTATTTCAACTTTTTTTTTTTTCATTTTACTACGGTAGTAAATAAAACAATTGTGCTAAAATGACTAAACATGTTTAAGTAGATGCCACAAATAATTGCATTATTTTTTTCAATGCACTGTCTTGCTAGGTGCTAAAAGCTAAAGCGAAAGGTGGGTTCTGACAGCAGATTTTAAAACAAACAGAGAAGAGGCCTGTCTAATATGAGGAGGCAGGTTATTCCAGAGCATTGAAGCTGCAACACTAAAACCGTGGTCCCCTCTGATCTTCCGCTTAGTTTCAGGCTCTCTCAGTAGCAGCTGGAAGACACAGTAGTAGCAGCATCATGCTGGGGGCATCCTTTATTTGAACCGGAAAGGGAGAGAAAAAGCTGGAGCAGAAGCAGCTCTACCCCACATGAAAGCCCGGTTCCTCTGATCTGCAAATTTGAGGTGGAGCACCTTAAAAGGAAGCTAACGTCAGACTCCACTTCATAGACCAGGCTTTTGTACACAAAAGTGAAATTGAAGTTCCATTACCATCACTCATATTGTAATCTGTCTAAATAACAACTTTAACATATGAAAACACTTAGAAGGAATGAAGTGAGAACAAGAACCAGTTTCTACAGAACATTTCTTACTTTTTTTACGTGTTATCAGAAGATGAAAAGAGCAAAGTATTTGTTTGCTAGCAAATAGACTTCGCTGGATGTGAAGCAGCTATTGTGTTCATTAGAGAGACAACATGATAAATGTAGGCTCTTAAGTCTTTTCCAGCTGTTAGCACTATTTAATACAAAAATTAAAGTATGAACATCATGTTCAGGGTTAGTGAAGTCGAGAAAGAAGGTTTTTTTTTTGTGGCCCTAGATCTCTACAGATGATGGGTGGAAGGAAGGTGGTCAATCCATAATTAACTGTCCTTTATGTGATCCAGCACAGAGATGATTGTGCACAAAGGAGACGGAGGTCCCCCAGGCTGAGGTTGTACTATGACCAAATGAAAGAAAGTAGAGCTGCATTGATACTTTTGAAGGCACTATAGCAGTTTTTATGGCATAGAAAAACACCAGCAGGACTCAAAAAGCTTCTCCTAGATGTGTAATGTCTTCAGCCATCAAATGGCTCCAATCTGGATCTTTATGATAAAAAAGAAAAACTGGATGATCGACCTGATAAAGATTATAATCATTCAAAGGTCTGATTTGTTTTTATTTAAGTTAAATCGAAAGTTTTCTTTCCATCCATCCAATCAGCAGCCTGCCTGTTTTTTTTCTTTGTTTAGGCCCATTTATGGTGGTTCTGTTTGCCAAGCTGGAGAACATGCTCCAAAACTCATTGTACGTCAACATCCTGCTCACTGGCATCGTAGCCCAGCTGGCCTGTTATCCTCAGCCTCTCCTGCGCTCCTTCCTGCTCAACACCAACATGGTCTTCCAGCCCAGCGTCAAGTCACTGATCCAGGTACACCTTCTAAAGCTGAGATGTCTTGGTTGATGAGGGTTCCAGTTTGGCCTCCATTAAACTTGGTCTGTACAGTCCTGGCTGGTTGATGAACTGCTTCGGTTTTATCTAGAGAACAAGTTCCCTAAAGCTCTTTATAAGGATTGTTTTCCAACTTAAACCCACCTTGACTTCTTTGAGGCTTTGGTTTAAAAGCATTGAATTAACTGACGTGTTTTATTGAAGGTTCTTTTCTCAGTTATTTTGAGTCAAGACTTTAGTATTAGCCCACTGTTTCAGCATAACATGACATCTGCAAACAGCTTCCTAAGATACCTGCTTTTTAAAATCCGTTTCAGCTTAACCCCATTGTTCTGTTACCATCTTCAGGTTTTAGGTTCTGTAAAGAACCGCATTGAGGCATTTGCAGCTTCTCATGAAGACTTCCCTGCCATGCTGAGGAAAGCCCAGCAGTACCTGGTGGCTCGGGGGAAATTGGACTGGACTGACATGCCTGCAGCAGTCCCCCCGCTGCGGCGCTCTGATTCACTAAGTGAGTACAGAAAGCTGATTAGAAACATGTTAGGTTTCATTTCCTTTTGTGGCAAAATCACCCATATTTAAAGTTCTGAATCTGAAAAAAAGGGGGAAAAAAGGCTTTTTTTTATGTTCTACATAAGATTTGATCTAAAACTTTTTTTTTTTTTATATACATTTATTTTATACATGCATATCCATTTTAGCAATATTTTTTCTTCTCTTTATTAATGCAAATCATTTAATTACCATTTTCAGCACCATGGAGAGGCCAATTTCAATAGGGATGAACAGAATCACAGATTCTGGCTAAATAACTGCAAATACATGCAAAGTAAAAAACCCAAAAGGGACACAAATCTACAATAACTTTAAGTTGGGCAGAAGGACAGAAGTTGACTCTCTAAGACACAGCCTTTCCTCATTTTTTTTGCATAATGGGGCAGAAATGCGTATAGAAATGTAAAAACGAGAGGCAGAAATAAATAGCATTGAAGAAATAAGGAGGGTAAAAAAATAGAAAGGAAGAATAAAACAGATAAAAATATTATGAAACGCACATAAATAGATACTTTTTAAAAAGTAATAATTAAAGTTGAAGATTATAACGGACAACAAATAAATAAGGTAGATATTAAAAAGGCAACTAAATAAAGATGCTAATTAAAAGAGATATATAAATTGATGTCTCACTGTATAATTTAATTTCTACCTACATTTATTTGTTTATTGTTTTTTTTTTGGTGGGCAATTAATTGTATGCTTATTTATTTATTGAGCATTTATTTATTTCTGTATTTATTTTTAAATATGGCAGAGTTGGTCCTCCATAGCTGAGAGACCCACTAAAAATAAATATAAAAAAATTTGCATTTAAGATAAAAATAAAGGTTTCATCTGTCAACATGCTCTATGCAGAACTCCTTTAGTGGAAAAGTTTGAGTTTCACCTGGTTTAATTTCATAAAAAGTCTATCTTTAAAGAATCTTTGGCTATTCAATTATTAGTCGATTAATCGAAAAAATATTCAACAGCTTAAGCAATTTGTAAAATACTCCTTAGTTGCAGCCCTAATCTGATTCCAACTTGAGTAAATTAAGTGTAAGGCATGAAAATGCATGAAAACTGGGAAAGTTTAAATAGAAGTTAACGGTTAGTTTAAGTTGACTTACTGACTGAATACACACGTTAAGATGTTGAAGTCGATGATTTTACTTATTTTCAGACTTTTAAAATCATCATCTGTGGTTGAAGTGAAGCTGAGGTTTTTTAACTGGATAAGATTAAAGTGCCCAGATGGGATAAATGGGATTTTTATAAATAAGACAAAGGTGCCGAAGTTCTGGTCTGTGGAAAAAATATTTTCTGATCTTTGCTCAATTTTGTTCTTGCTTTTTTCTTTTTTTCCTTTTCCTAGTTAAAAGTCGGAAGCCATCTCTTGGTGAACTGATCCTCCGACACACCAACAGTCCCACCCGGGCCCGGAACGCAGCTCAGCTGGCTCTCGCTCACGTCCGGGACGGCGGCCAATCACTGCACAGCGCTTTGTTCCGGGGGGGCAGCGGCTCGTCGGGGCTCGAGAAGCAAGCGGAGGCGCTGCGGGTGAAAAACGCAGTGTACTGTGCTGTTATTTTCTGTGAGTTTCTCAAAGAGTTGGCAGCCATGGCTCAAGAGCACGCCGTCACTTTACCTTTCCCTCGGAGCCAAAATGCTGAGGAGTAGACTGGTAAAAACAGACCCTTCTATCTTGGCTCTTGGCTTCCCTTTTTTTAAACTTTTAAATGTTTCACCAGACTGGAGCACTGAGAGCCTCTATCATTGAAATAATCATCTGCGACGGTGCAGACAGCAAGACTGGAGGAAAACAGTGGCATTTTTCTACCAATATGATGATATGAAACATCTATTTCACTCCTTTAACTTAGAGCTTGGGCATATCATGTGTTTTATTTACATTCTGCACACAGGGAATCTCAGTAAATAATTAAGACTCTGGAGCTTGTAAATAAACGTACCATGCCATGGTATCATGTGACCGATTAAAAGAAGTAGGTGCACAAACTGGTGCTAGTTTATACTCATGTTTTCATTTGAAAGGGTGCTCTCAGGTAGCACAGACACGAAGGTCCCTTCCTCATCAAGATGAAGACAAACACCAAATATTTCTTGGCAGGAGAACATTAAACTTTAATTAGAGTCTGTATTTGTATATCAACCTCATCTTAGCTTTTTTTCAATGCTTTTATTGTCCATTTAGGATCGGCCAAAAATGATCTGATTTTACTAAATTGTCAGAATCCATGGTCTTGATTGGATAGCTAAAAACTGGAAAACGAGGAGAGGGAGAACATTTTTATTTTTAAAGGAATTAGAAAATGTACTAGAAAGTGTTAGGTAATTAATGCCAGTTTTATGTTGTTTTCTTTTATTTTGCACCATTTAGTTGACATATCAGCAGCATGTGGGTGTAGGCATGTGCCATTGTGTAAGTTTATTTGAATGAATGCCTCCTTTCCAAAGGGTGAAGCTAGATTCTTCAGGCCGTTACTGAGTCATCAGCCCATCGCCATAAAGGAGGCTGGGACAAAAAAAGACAGTGATGTGTGAAGTCAAATCATTAGTCATTTAAATGATCTATGAGCTAGCATTGTTTATTTTCTTTAGAGCCGGGGCATATTTTCATTTGACTTTAAAATGGTTAAGAAAATCTCTTTGTGATTAATTAGTTAGCTACTAATTACGGTCTATATAAGCCATCTCTATTCTGTTTTACTTTTGTCTTTGTTTTTTTGTCTTAGTTAAAAGGCCAGCCTGATCAAAGAACTTGTCTTGAAAATTAACATGCTGCTATAAATGTTTATTTTTTTAACACTAATTGTGTCATAGCTACTGTTTCTTTAGTTTGTTCTTAGGTACCAGATATTAATGTGCATGTGAGGGTGTTCAATTAATGAAGCCAGTTGTGATCAGCATTCTGAAGTTGAATTAAGTTGCAGTTATTCAGTGTTAGATGTTTTTACAAATTTTTTTGGTTGTTGTCATCTGAGAAAAACGTTTTGTTTTCTGCACTTTTTAAAAAAGTTGAAATTCTTTTTTTTTTTTTTATAGAGATGCACTGATCTAAATGTTGGTGCTGATTTCTGGTTTCGGTGAAGCTTTGAACTGACAATATAATTTTCCTCAAAGGTTTTAATGGAAAAGAAAAAAGCTATTTTTTTTTATCTTCTTCTTGAGCAGCAATCTTAATTTTTTTGCTTTTAACATAAGGCACAGATTCAGGATCAGACTGTGTGAACAGATCCTGTAAATCAGGATTTTGCTATTAGTTTTTAATGCCTCCAAACTGATTTACATTCAGAGATTAGCATTGCTAGCCATGCTAGCCGTGCATTCAATGCAGTGTTTAAGTCCGCGGGAATGTAAATCTGTTTAAAGTGAGAATTGTAAAACGCCGTTGTGATTTCCAGCATGTTCCTTGACAACCTGACTTTGATGGCCCGGATGGATAATAGCAGAGCCACTTTACAGAAGACATTTAGCGTTGCTGTTTTTAACTTTTTAAGTCTTCTACTCTCTTCCTTCCAGTCTGATTAAACTCCAGTCTTAATTTTTCTTTAAAAGTGTAAAGCTCCCATAATCTCTATGTTGCCTTTATTCCTAAACCTTTCTGGTACCTAAAACTGGACGTGTTTCCATCAGTGTTTGTTAATGTGCAATTTTAAAAATCGCTGGATGGAAAAGACAAAGTTTCAATCAACTCACTAAGTTTCACAAAGTTTTTCCACTCACTTAAGGTGATTTTTGACTTTTTTTTTGGAAAAGGGTAAATGCACTAAATAGGAGGTAGAAACACATTTAAATGTGTTTAATAAGTTGACGTCACATGATTGATCAACTCTTTCCACCACATCAGAATCTTAATCCACTCTCAGTGTCTCTGGAAGGCCTGTACCATCACTACATGATAAAGTACATACAACTTGTCCAATTGCAACATATTCATTAAAACCTTGTTCCACGCACCAGCTGGCTGCCTCCACTTCCTGTTTATTACAGTCCAAGCTAAACGTCGTTGAATGGCGACGTTATTAGCATCGTCTCGTTAATCCAAACCAGAGAAACATGTGAAACTTTAAGTTTCCTTTTCTTCGACATTTAAGTTTGCATCCATATATAAGAGTGTTTGTTTTAATCACCAAACAGAAAAAGATCAAATAGATCCAAATTGTTCATTCGGCCGCTTACGGCAAATTAACTGGCTGGAAATTTTTCGGTGCATCTCTATTTTGAATTATGGAGACTCTTTAGAGAGCAGCGTGACGATAAGTGGCTCAGCTTCTTATGGGACTGGTTTCCTTTACGTTCTCCAAGTTGTGGCAGGAAAAAAAAAAAAAACTGCCATCCTGTAAAGAATTTTTTACTGAGATCTGAAATCTTTTCACATTTACATCTTTACCAAAAAAAAAAAGAAAACAAAAAGGCTTTTTTCAGTGTGCTGAAGCCATGTTTTATTATCATGTTTGTAAGTTTGGTACTTCATTGCACCACTTTTCTACCGAATTTCTAAACCCATTTCATACCAGATCATAATTATTAATTTAACCGATACTAAAACGCTTCTGCATGCCCGTTTAGGCCAGGCTTAGAGAAATGTGAGTATTTGTGAAGTGTTGATGAGTTTTTTAGTTTTTTGTCTGCAGTTGTTGGAAGAAAGAAAAGCAGGTTTTTCACTGAATGTCTCTTTACATGCAAAGTTAATCCACTGCCATCTGTACACCCATCGATCTCCCCCCATCAGGTTTCTATTTTTACAACTAAGATTGTATTTTTTTTTCTTTTTTTTTTACCAACTTTTCAACCAGATGGATTAAATTGTAAATATGATTGTTCTTATTTTGATCGAATAGTGTCATGTAGTGATCTGTTTGCATCCATAAACACCAAAGACAATCGCCTGAAACCCACAGCCCCCACATCCACCCGCAAATCTGTACATTGGAATGTATAGATTTTTAATGTATATTTTAAGATTTTCCGTGTAGGAATAATCTTAGTGGGAAATAAGTACAGTAAACCTCATTTGATAGAATGTGCCAATTTTGATTTTTAGGCTTGTAATGTTCAGGCTTATTCATTTTTTTTAAGTTATGCTCTTTGTACACACTCCCAAACGTGTTTAACATTTTTGTTTACTTTCCCCTAGTTTTTTTTTTCTTTTTTTTTTTTACATATTATAAAAAGACAGATACAAAAAATTTTTAAAGAGGCATATAAAGGGAATATATCCTACCAGGGACTTTGACGTCTTCCTAATCTGTAAACAAACCTTTTATTTTTTTTTTAGTCCTTATTTTGTATAACAAAACAAAAAAAGAAGAATTGAGATATGCCAAATCTAATCAATGCTTCATTGTACCTCTAATTATTACTCAGCTCTCCATTCGCTGCCTCTTGTTCTAAACACTCCCAGCTATCATAATAAATGGTAATTGTAAAAAGAAGACGGTATAAAAGTAGAAAAGATCAATAATTAATAAATTCATATAAGCGATTGGAAGTTTTAACCAGTCTGGCTGAGGGTTGAAGGTTTTTTTCCTCAAAATTATGCTTCAAAGATAAAAAAAAAAAAAAAGCTTTATCCAACTTTTCTTTATTTAATTGTCCGTTTTTATCGATTATTTTTTCATTTGATTAACTAACAAAAAATGTGGATTGGTAAAACTAAAACTGACATTATGTGCAGTGTTGCATATTTATACACTACAGCTGATCTGATATTCATTTAAAATGTTATTATTGTCTAATATTTGAATTAAATTTTCCTGCCATGCTGAGTTTCAGCTTTACTTTCATTTATTTTCATTGTTGAAAAATGTGTTTTATTGTGGGCTGATATTGTACCCTGTTTAATCTCATGATAGAAAACAATCTCTTCAGTGTCCTTTCTTTCTCCATTTTTTCATTCCCTGTGCAATCTATGCAACACACGCTCTCCTATCCCCGCTTTGAAGCTCTGAATGAAGATGTTGAATGATTTTAACATGTAAATACTGTATAGATATATATACATAAAAAAGAAAAAGATCAATCAGATCAGTTGGTCTAAATGAGACGTGAAAATAACCGACCGAGCAGAATGGAAAATGTCTTTAAATGATGATAGGATGAACGTTGTCGTAAATATTTTTTTATTTTGAAATCGCTAGGAGATATTAAAAAAAAAAGAAAAAAAAAAGACAAATAGTCATAGTGGGAAAGCTGTCAGAAGAACACTACGAAGGGAAGTTTGTATTAATTTATAAATTCATTGCTTAGCAATATCACATTTGTCTTTGTGTCATTTTTTTGTTGCCTTACAAATAAATTATTCCCCAATGCAAACATGTATATCTGACTTTAATCACATAAAAGAAGTCATTGTTAATATAATGCATCTGTAAGAAAATGAGAGATGGTTCCGGTCAGGTATCAACCAGAGCTGTCTGGATGGACCCTTTTTGTTTATTTCTTTTTTTGTCCAACTTCTAGTTTAGCAGGAATATATAAACATGTGGAAGTTTTTCCTCACATGGAATACTTCAGGTTTTCCTCTGACAGGAATTATCACCTTATGTATAACCTCAGATATGTCCTTTTAGAAAAAAGGAAGAAAAGCATATCTGAATAATTTTAACGAGTTATTTTGAGACTTTACTAGAATTACAAAATTATTAAAAACAATTTAGGTAATACTTCAGATGATACTTTATTTTTAATTCCTGACCTCATCTTTTAAAGTAGCTTGTTTCTTAATTCTTCAGCTCAATCAAACTGATTATTTTTATGTACTATTTAGCTAAACTCTGATGGATATCACTGACTCAAAAGATCTATAAGCTTATTAATTTACTACTTCAGTTTCCTACCTCAATTTTTTTATAAGTATGGTGACAAATTAAGTGCTTAAATTTGTTATTTGGTTAACTTGATTCCTATAGAAAATAATATTTGGCCCCAGACTAAACATGAACAATGTTCTGGACTTAAACATAATTTATTTGGAGTCAAATAACTACATTTCCTTACAGAAAAATGTGAGGACATTTCAGAAAATTACTTTAAATTAACTGCTTTCAGAGCTAATATGAAGTTACTCAAAGTGGAAAAAGTTTGATGCATGGATGTTATGCAGGAGCAGGAAAAAGTTCAGAATGAAAAAACCAAATCAGCTTCTAGCTAGTTATCAGCAGTGTTGATGACTACCCAGAAAACATTTTTTTAAATGTGGGTCTCTAATAACTTGATTTACAATAGCATAGAAAACCCATTTATTGTCCCACAATGGGGAAATTGTGCAAATTGCAAAAGCAGTCCCACAAATATGGAACTTTAAAAATGTGTATAAAAATAACATAAGTAACAAAGTTAAGTACAATATAAACACTGTGCATCTGAAGAATAACAGCTGTGGACATTTTTACAGTAATGGACGTGAAAAAATGGCAACACCAGGGAGTTCAAAAATGACAGCATGTAATTTAACTAAGACAATAACTGTGTAAAAATCAGCATGAATGTAGCAACTTAAAAAGGTTGCTGGGAGCAGTGGTGGTTATAGAGTCTTACAGCAGATGGGAGGAAGGATCTGTGATAACGCTCCCTGGTGCATTTAGGGTGCAGCAGTCTGTCACTGAAGGAGCTCTCCAGTTCTGCAACAGCTTCATGCATGGGGTAAGAGACATTATCCTAGGTATTTATGAATACCTGCCCCAAAAACCTACTTTGTTACCAACAATATACAAATTTTATTCCAAAATAGTTTCTGAGCTGCAGTGAAGGACTAAATACTGCTTAGGACTTTTATATATATATATATATATATATATATATATATATATAT